AGAGATGGTGCAATCTTGTAGATGAGCTTGGATGGTTTGAATTATAACGAATGTTCGGATATCGAAATGCCACATCTTTGGTTTGAAATTTTAAATGAATATTGTTGACAAATTTAATCATTTATCGGCTAAGAAATTTAGAGGTCGACCCCAAGCCTTAAACAAATATATCATTAACTTATTTCGCATTTGCATTATAGGCACTAGGAACATCTTTCATTTGGTAATAATATGCCCACATAAATTGCATTTAAAGTCAGTCTAGTTGTAAATTGCTTTGGATTTAGCCGAAAGTGCTACATGGGTTGAAGGAGGAAGGCCCAAATCTTATTTAAATTTCCAAGGGCAAGCCCGCGAGATGAGGAATTCGGCCAAGCCCAAGCCCATAAATTCTCCTAATATGGCCGAAATTTGCACATCGGGGTATTTTGGACTAGGAAAGTTTATTCTTTGATCAAACGTGGAAAGCAATAAGGCTAAATATCACAAGAACTTCGGTCCCAATGGAATAAAAGTGTGACAACCCAGAACATCATGCACAGCACGAGATCTTTCCTTAAATTATTTATTACTTCTTTTGAACATGCGGAAGCATAATAAAATAATGAAATCATTCGTTAATAGAAATTTAACAAGTTTAAATAATAAGCACATGCATCTTTCTTTTATATCCATCTTCCAAGTATTAATACAAGCATCCAAAAAGAAATTGATAAAAACAGTCTAATGAAAATGATACAAACAGTTTCTGAACCTTAGCCTAATGTGCAATTTTATCTTTGAACTTTCAATTTGTTTAATGTAGTTCTTAAATTTTAGCCTAATATTTAATGTGATCCTTGAACTTTTAATTTGGTTAATGTAGTACCTGGACTTTTGATACATATTTAATGTAGTCCCTGAACTATATAAAAATGTTCAATGTAGTCTCCGAACTTGAATTAATGGAAGGACTAAACACACCTAATTCATGCTCTCCCTATCTCTCTCTGGTTTTTTGTTAATGTACTTTCCAATCTAGACACTAAATATTTTTCCGAATAATAAGTTCATATCTAATGTCGAGATTTGGTTTTACTCTAAAACAAAAGAAAGGAAAATGACATAAATAGTCCACGAACTTTGGTCCAATGTGCAATGTTGTCACGCTCCGGCTCGAAAACGTGAATCTGCGGGGGTTATTTTTGCGACATCCCGTTCGTTTTTATCTTTTGTTACGAGCAAGCGGAAGCATATACTCGAGACAATCACAACAACATCAAACAACAACGGGATTAAGAAACACACTACAAGCACGCTTATATTTATATGATAGTGATTATCATTACAAGCCCTTAGCCGTCAAAACACACGGTCGGGTTATCCTACTCCGCTACTGTGACTTCCACAAAACGCTCCGAAGACTCGCTTCTTAAAATCCGGCCTCCTCCCCCACTCATTCGTCCCGCCTACACGCTGTTCGCGCCACCCTCGGGCGCGGGACCATTCACTCCCTCAAATTGCCCATTGAACCTGCGAAGGGGACCGAACAGGCCGCCCTCAGTCCACATGTACCAGACCTCGTACGTGTGAGGAACGGGGTTGTCTAGGCCCTCGTCCACCATGACCTGGAAGATGACCTTGCGGTGGGCTCTACTCTCGCCCGCATTTATGATGTCCAACAAGTCCACTACTAGTTCCACTGGGGTATCAAAACGAACGGGTGGGTCGGCATCCTACACGTCTGAGGAAAAACCACGGGGAGTGAGTCAATAACTCAATAAGTAAATCTACTAATATCAGGTTAGAGGAAGCAATCGTCGGCGAACATGCACCTAAACTTTTATCGCCCCTCATATCGATGGCAAATCAATAGTAAAGACGTGTCTTACCTTGGTTACGTACTATTTAGGGTTCACGCATTAACTAAGAGAACATCAAGCATGGTACATAAATGGCGCATGCATCAACACTCAGTATCTCGATCACACGAGAACAAACACACGGGATTAATTTATTATTAACCGAAATCCATCGGGCATCCGGAATCCATCGGGCATCTGAAATCCATCGGGCAACGTCTCGAAGTCCATCGTAGACGGCTTTAGTCCCTCGTGTGTCCACGCATCACAATCACCAGGTAATCCGGTTTCTTATCTTTCTTACTTAGTTCATGCAAACAAAATGGCCCGAAGGCGTGAGTGTAAATTAAATTCATGGACAATAAAAATTGTAAGCATCTAGTATGTTGGCCACGGTTCAGGGCTTGTGACTTGATTCGACGCGCCAAACGTTGAACAAAACCGTATTTAGCTCGGATTCGATATGCCTCAATATTGAACCTTTGCCAAGCAATGTCCAGTCCATACGCCATAGCGTGCGTAGAAGACATACGTTCCCTCTTTCGCGGCCGAGTCGTGCTTTGACTCATGACTATGCTTTGCAATCAACAAAACATGCAAGCAAACAACAAGCAAGTCTCTAGCACGGATCGAGTAAAGACACAAGTCATTAACGCATCACAATATCCTATCTCGAGATTAGGGAATCTACTTACAACAACTTAAACAAAAGGCAAGACTTAGTGGGGACCAAAAAGAAAGTGGGTGAGGAAGGGGTTGGCCGAGTGTGTGTGGCGTGAAAGAGAGAAAGAGGGAGTGGCGTGAGAAGAGGGGTTGGCCGAATGAGGTAGGGCAGGCGTGAGAAAGAAGGGGTCAAGTGGGGATACTTTCCTATTTATAGCATGGCCTACAAAGTTAATTATGAAGAAGGACCAAAAGTCTAACTAATGATGAAGGTGGTCTTGAAAGTTTTTGCCATAATTAAGCTTCTTCCTCAAGCTTTTAACTTGGGCCATTCATTCCTTAACTTGGCTTTCAAGTTACTAAGTAGGGTCATAATGTCCTATTAGGCCATTTAAGACCAAGGCTTCAATGATAGCCTTTCTAGACTTGTCTTTAGCCTTTCTTCCTTGTCTTGGGCGTGAGACACTTTGTCTTCATCTTCAAGATACTCAATTATTGGTTTATAGTCTCTATTATTGGTGTTGGTCCCTATCATGGGTGTCTTGTAAGACAAACTCTATTATTGGCCAAGTTGCAAGAGAAGTTGCCAATAATGCCATTGACTTGGCTAATTCAATTTTTGTCCTCTTATTCATGAAGTCTTTGGGCATGGATCATGTGCTCATTTTCAAGAACACTCAATAATTGGTGCATATCATTTAATCTAATGTCTCATCTTGTTCTTGGACACTAATGTTCACCAATGCCTAGTTTAAGAGGCAACTAAGATAAGTGAGTTTACATGCCCATTCGCGATCGACCATCCCATTCGGACAGAGGTTCAGGTTTGGAATATGCTCGAATATGACCGGGTACAACTGAGCCAAAGACCGGGCTGAACGCACAAGGTTGGACTAGTTGGGCTGTCCAGGCGCATGGCCTGTTCGGCCGGGCTTGATTGGGCACAGGGCCGGGCTGCACGGGCGTCGTGTCGGGCACACGTTTGGGCTACACTGGCGCTGTGCCGGCACATGTGCCGAACGCAGGAATTGGCACATAGCCGGGCGCAGGGCCTGACTCGTGGCCAATCCTGATCGGCATTGGATGGTATTGGTTGAGTACAAGGCCTAGTTCATGGCCTGTATTGATTGATCACAAGTACTAGGCACATGGCAAGGCACAAAGCCAAGCACGTGGCCGAGTCTGACTAGGCAAAGGATCGAGTACTAGCCGGAACTGACGGGCATAAGAGCTGGCACAAGTGTTAGGCACAATGGCTGGCACATGGTTGGGCATGGGGCCGGATTGACGGGCACATGACCAGTCCATGGTCAGGCACAGGGCCTGGCTTGCACAGTTGGCACAAAGCCTAGTCCGCGGCCAAGCGGCAAGGCTCCTGGTCTGGTCCATGGCCCGTCCATGGCCTTCCCGTCTCAACGCAATGATCCATGGCCGATTTACAACTGGTCCATGTTCAAACATCAATGATCCATGGTCAATCCTCGGTTGTCATGTAGTCGTATGGAATCGATCACATCGGAATCGGTCCATGGTTGCCCGTGACCGGTGCATGGCCGTGCGGAATCAACCGTCACCGACGCATGCCCATGCGACATCGATCCATGACCGTCTGTGATCATTCCACTGCTGATCCTTGTGGTCGAGCGGTCGATCCATGGTCGTATCACTCTAATCGACTTTCATGATTGGGAAGTCGATTCACTACCGATTCCATGGCTGATCCATGGACGATCTTTTGATCCAATCATGACTGATCCCTTAGTTACCTATTTTGACCAAACCGATTGGTCCATGGCCGCCCCTCGGATCAGTCCACATACCGTTTTCGCTGGTCATTTCCCTTGGTCGATCCAGGGTCCGAATCGTGGATGTCACAAATGTGGTCCATGAATTTTTAATTTATTCAATATAATCCCTGAACTTTAATCCAAAGTGCAATGTGGTCCCTAAACTTTTAATTTGTTCAATATCATCCCTGAACTTTTGGTACATGTTCAATTTAGTCCTTGAACTATATGAAAATGATCAAGTATTGCTTCCATTAATTCAAGTTCAGGCATTACATTGAACATTTTCATATAATTCATGGACTACATTGAACATGTATCAAAAGTCTAGGGATTACATTGACCAAATTAAAAGTTCAGGGACCACATTGAACATTAGACTAAATTTCATGCACTACATTAAATAAATTAAAAGTTTAGGGATTAAATTGCACATTGAACCAAAGTTCATGAATTGTTTGTGTCATTGTTCCACAGGCTTATATGTTGAGAAATAGGGCATTTTTATTAAGTTCCTGAATGTGAGATGATCATGTCTAGGAAGAAATGAAGCAGCGGTTGCTTTTGGGAAAAGTAAACTTTTCTGAACTGCCATGACAAAGGTGCTCACAAAAGCACATAACCTAAGAGAAGCTGATTTATGTAAGGGCATATCGCATTCACCAAGAATTCATCTCTTCGAAAGTTGATAATAAAAAGAAGTACCATATTGTAAATGCAACAGTTCACATATATCTAATAAATAATGTATAGTTCCATCGTCCAAATCCACTGCTTCCCTAAAAATAATCCTCTCGCGGCAGAGCTACAAAGAAAAGAATATGAAAAGCAAATGAAAAGTCCCATGTTTGGAAAGCAAAAAAGAAAAACTGGGAATACTAAAGCAAAATCGAGAGTTTGCTGATATTGCAACTGTCAAGCTTCAAGCACTCATTTCTCTCTCAACTTCTTGCTTATGGCGAAGATTGCTCCTGCCACTGCAACCACCGCTGCGGAAATTAAGATGGCCGATTTGAGCGATTGCATGGCGTCCTTCTCTCTTTCTTTTTGCTGTTGAGCTGCTTCAGCTTGTTCCTTGAGTGACAAAAAAAGACCAGTCAACAAGATGGGACAGATTAAATAGCAAAAGTCAAATTTTTTTTTCTAAGATATAGTGATGATGGCGTATCTGTCTTGTTGAATTTGGAGGTTAACACACGAATATTGGACGATTAAAAGATGAATTCACAAAGATCTTGTTGCGGAATAGCATGAGGTTGGAATTCAACGAATTCGTGCCAGAAAATTCCTATAACACTTAAGCGGTATAATTGGAATTAATTACCTTAACCTCCAAGGAAGCAGCCACGGCAGACGATACAGGGTCAACTTCAACTTTTGTGTTCAGACCGGGATTCAGTTCATTCTCGATGTCCACAGCCGGGAATGTCTGATCGGAGGTTTCTGATATGCCGTTCGCAGCTTCGGGGCTAGCCATTTTCAGTTTTCTCAGCTGATATGTGTTGCCTTCTTCAGGTGGTGCGAGTTTCTTCTTCTTTCTTGTTTTTTTTTCCTTGTCTGCAAATGGTAGAGTGAGCAATAAGAAAAAGTATTTGGTAGTTGGTCAAATTGATACGTGTTCTTTGTCCCCTGACTTGGTGGCTTTGGCATGGATTTCTCTAAAACAACTTGCCTATTCTCGGTACAAAACTGCCCGTGAAAACTGCAGGAACCAGGAAGAGCCACTCACGCTTCTGTACCGTTTGTGTGCTTGACCTGATTTTATTGCATTCCTAGCAGCTCGAACTAACAATTATTAGGGCCTTGTCTCTCTCACACGTTGCCTATGTCTTCGGTCAGAAAATTATGTTGTTATCCAGGTATTAGAAATTGTCAAAATCACAAAGCTAAAAAATAAAAATAAATATTAGCTCCCTCCAGAGTCCGGACGCGGCAAGGTAATCTTCTGGTAGTGGATCCAGAAATTTGGTAAGTATTTTAGGATGCATTTAGGAACACATTTGCAAAGCCCTTTGGACCTCTAAAGGTCCTTAGACAATACAAATATGCTTGGCAAATATTTTTTGAATCTCATTAGGAAAATGCTGAAATTTTCGAGTATCCTCTGATCACAAACGTTTTAGGGCTAATGTGGGCCTAGAATTGTCATCAACGACGAGACAGGACGTAGAGTTAATTTGCCGTAAGAAAAGTAGTCGGGAAATGATTAGAGTGCATCAATTACAAAAACAAAAAGAGAACGAAAGACATCTAATTTCAGCATATTTAATTACAATGGTCCGATTACAAACACATCAAAATTTGCTTTAGCATTTTAGCAGAATTATGTCATCATTGTCACTGCGATGATAACCAATCCGACGTGGACTGGCTTAGAAGCACGCTAATGCTTTCACTGTATAACTTTGGACTTAACGTACCCCCTAAGTATGTATAGATCACAAACTAGAATGCTTGCCATTGGACAGCAAAAGTATACAAAACATTAAAAGAAGGAGTCGATGTTATCAAACAGTCCTCTTTCATGCCTTATTATAGGTTTTGCAGTATTAAGTAGGAATTGCAACAAAAAGCATCTTAAATCATGTCCATGAACAGAGAGAGAACTTTCGAGCCCAAATAAAGAGATAAGTGTATTGGAAGTCCTAAAACTTATTGCGAAAGTACAATTGACTTCTAAAACTTTCAAAAAATGCAATCAAGTTCTAAAATTTGTGAAGTTGGTGTATTTAAGTCTTTCCATTAATTCCATCCAACTCAACAGACGAAAAATGCTAACAAGTTTTAGGAATTGATTGAACAAATTTAATAATTTTTAGAGTTGATTGAACCAATTTAATAAGTTTTAAGACTTGATTGCACTTTTTGAAAGTTTTAGGATTGAATTATACTTTTGTGACGATTTTAGGATTTACTTGCACTTTTTGAAAGTTTTAGAACTCAATTACACTATCGTCGTAAGTTTTAGGACTTATAGTGTATATATATAAAAATAAAAAATAGAGACACAGAATTGACTTGGGTGTTATGACCACGCTCCATGAGTTAAATATTATACGAACAAAAATGACCGACACCGTTTGTGAGGGGAGGGGAGGAGGTAAAGACGGTATTACTTGCTTTTTTTTTTCTTTTACTACTTGGCGACTTCTCCTGTGGGAAAATCAAACCAACTTAGGCTCCGTTTGTTTTGCGATTTTTTTTTTCTGGAAAAACATTTTCATCATTTTCTGGCATTTTGTTCGCTTAGGAAAATGAGTTAACAGAAAATATTTTCCTAGTCAACGGAAAACCTATGCTTCAATTCAGAAAATGATTTAAAAAAAAATCAGAAATTATTTTCCAAAATATGACTAGTGTCGCAACCTTTCCAAAGATGAACCACCTAGGGATTGGGTAATGGATTACTAAACTTACACCTAGCTCGGGCTCTCCCAAACCCTTACTAATTCACAACTTTAGTTTAAGTTCTTAACATGCAAATCAATATCATTTCGGAGCCACCACTAATCTATTTTTGGTGGGTCGATTAGAAACTCAAGTAAAGTGCAAGAGCATACTTTACTTCTACGAACTAGAGATTTATGGATTCGGGGATTTGATTATGCTAGATTATTCTTACGCCCTTTTGGTACCTTTTGCTCTTTTATTTCCAAAAATATTTTCCAAGCAATCTTGATTATTTTTTAACCTAAACCACATGCAATGGGTGGTCATTTAGGTGTGCAACCATTGAAAATAGTACTCAATAATTAAAATGGTAAATAAATTGCTAGAATGGGGAAATAATTTACTTACCTCGAAAGCAACGTACAACAATGTTAATCGGATATGCATATTTGACCTCAACATGATTTCTAATTAATTACGCAATTGGAATCAATTCTTTTGGTTTTTCTTTAATAATGAAAGCTAAATTATGATATTCTAACCTAGTGTGAACAGGCATGATGAACTACTCTAATGACATGTGACATGACCTAACTAACATGACATGCAATTCTAAATTAAATAATCCTAAACATGCAATTACTAAATGACATGTCATAGATAGTGACATGGTGATGACATCACATAGATGACATGGCAGGATGACGTGACACGACGACATGGCATTGATGAAATGGCACGAATGAATGGCATGACATATGACGTGAATTTATGACATCTAATCCTATATGACATGCACGTGATATTTTGCGATTTTTTTATATTGAAAATCGTAATTAAAAATTAATAAAAAATAAACTATCCTAAATGAGATTTTATGCAACTCCAACTAGGAAATAATTTAGATTAATCCTATTTTTATCATATAATCATCTGAACTACATAGATATTATCTTAGCGTGCAATCTGTCGCGACCTACCCATCCCGATCGGGGGGATCAAAAATTGATTGAATAGGTCAAGGAGGTATTTATCGATGGATGTAAACATTAATTGATTTGTTTGAAGGACAAACCAAATAGTTCATTAATCCATGGACCGAGGCACTCCCAAGTTTCGTATCTCATGCGACGAGAATTGTCTAAACTAAGCATTCAATTGAAGTCGCCACTAGCCATAATCATGGGTTGGCTAGGAAGCCTCATCATGACGTGGGAGTATCATCTCGATATGCGCGAAAATAAGAAATTTTAAAGATCGAGGACTTGATTACACTAGCGATCTAACTAGTGCCCTTTCAATACCTAAATTTGAACGTTCGTAAACTAATGTACCGGGCAGCCTATCGAAAAAGCTTAAGATTCCACCTAACCATGCTAAAAATGGAAAATAACAACTAATGTATTAAAGGTGCGCAACCAAATAATCGTAAAGAAAATAAACAACCAGCGACTTAGCATCGTCTCTAAAAAAGAGAAGGCAATCAAAAGCCCTAAAATAAAGCCCTAATGGCTTATTCAAATTTTTGAGAATTTTTTTTAAAGATTTTCTCAATTTTTATAAGTTTTAAACAAAGTCTAGAGTGACATTAAACACTAAGATCTAATGAAATTAACCTAAAAAACAAATTTTTGAACACTTCCTAATTTTCTGGCTTTTTTGGAATTTTTCTAATTTTTTTGAATTTTTTTTGAATTTTTGAATTTAATTTTTTTTATGTTTTTCAGAATTTTTAATATTTTTTGGATTTTTAAACATTTTCGAATTTTTTAATTTTTTATATATATATATTTTAATATTTTAATTATATAAATATAAGAATTCCGGACCGATTCCCTTGACCCGATCGGCCCAACTACCTGACCTGGCACTCTGACCCGTTTGGGACCCCCTTTTCCTAAATCTTTTCTAGTTTTTTTTATTCTCCTATTTTCCCCCATTTTTTTCTTTTTTTTTTGGTTTCTTTTTCTGTTTCTATTTTTTCTTTTTACTTTTTCTTCCCCCTATGTGCCTTTCTGGTCTTCTCTTTTAGGCGTCTTGTTCACTGAGAACTTCTGCTGGGACCTCACCGAGAGCCTCCTTCCATCACCAAAGTTTCACCTCCGGCCATCGACCACCACTGTCAGTCGTCGTCGACACCCACCGTCGACGACCACCCCTCATCAGTTGTCGCGCCACCGCCAATGGCCACTACCCCAACTAACACGAAGCGATTCCAGCGACACTATCGTCACCGAATGGACATACCAAATCAAACACCATTTCAACAAAACAAACAGCCAAAACAAACATATTCACGCTAAAGATAAGGAGGAACCCGCTGGCTAAGGCGGCCTCGAGCCGCAGGCTTCGTCAATGCGGGAAAATATCTCCGGCGGGGGATACGTACGCGAGGCCAACTCGGGCAATGCTCAAACAGTGGCGTAAAAACACAAGAAAAACACCAAGTTAGTCATGGAATGTCGATTCAAGCATGGACAACGCATGAAACGAAGATAACAAAGAACAGCTTTCGGTGATAAAGTCTAGGCCTCCATTTGGGCATTTTACCAAACATGTTGTAGGCGTGATTTAACATAAGCTTTCGGCTGAGATTCAAAGTGATATATGGCTCAAACGTGATGTGTGGAGCTTTACACAGCCATATTTTGCAACAAGAAGGTCTCGGTTTGCATAGAAACGACCAAAAAGCGCAAGATCAGATTTGGAGTCCTAGGCTGAAAGAGATTCATTAGAGCATTTTAACAAACAGGTGCGACGCGCCTAAGAATAGAGGTTTCTAAGCCGATTTCTGTGGGATTCAAAGGTTGTTTCCTGGTAAAAATTGCTCGAGAACACTTCTTGGAGATGAAAAAAAAACGTTTTCCTCCTTTTGTGGTGCCGGCGATCACCAAATAGACTCGGTGTGCTTGGCACCCGAGAGGCAGGGGAAGGAGATGGCCAAAATAGGGGAAGGCAAGGAAGACCCACCTGGTTCATGGCTGATTGGAGCGAGGCACGACGGCTAGGGGGTTCGGCGGCGGCTCGGGCAGCCCTCCAGCGAGCGGGTGAGACTCGGACCTCTATGATTCCCCTCAAACTCTCTCTCGGTCTCCTTGTTCTCTTCCCAAACTTTCTCTCTTTTTCAACTTCCTGTCCCGCGAGGAGCTCCGAGGACCAAAAATGAAAGAATGGCTAACTCTGGTATTCGCGTGCTCACAATGCACA